CTTGTGTCCTAGATCCCCCTCCAGATTCAAGTTAACTCACAGTCCTGCAGCATCCCAGGATGCTTTGCACCTTCCCCACAAACGCCTCTCATGGGGTGCGTGGGCTAGTCTTGGCCCAACCTGTCTGCTCTAGCTGAGCAGGGAAGCATGTTCTAGTGCCCCCTGGCTTCTGACCTGAGCCACTGCAGGCATCTGGCTGCTTTTCCAGAAAAGTGAATTGTTCACTTGCTTATCTGCTATGCAGGTTAAACTAACCTGTGAAGATTGAATTGATTCAGCCTCAGGTTTTTTGACTGTGTACTTAGCCCTGGTGTTCCCAGGGGCTGATTTACAGGGGGCACAAGAAGAAGCTGCCACTGGAGCCAGCCCAGTTGCCAGAACTGCTGGCACTGGCCCAGATGCTGCTGCTTCTTCTGCTGCTCCTGTTGCTGTGGGTGCAGACCCTTGTTACACCTCTGATACCTTCTGCTATTGAGGCCCCGGAAGTCTGATCTTTCTCGCCTTGTCCTCCCATTAAATTCCCTTTCATAGCTCAGTTCTTTCTCCAGATATGTTACATCGGTAAAGCCTTTCAGTGCTGACAAGAAAAGTAATTTTTTGCTTACTTGCTGTGCCATAAACCCACACAGACAGATACCCACAATTATCTAGGTTATAAAAATTAGGACCTAAAACTGTTCAATTGATGTAATGATGACTGTACCATATCTCACCTGTATTTGAATTTGCCATTTGTATCTTTTTAGAATGTACTTTCTGCAATACGTCTAAATGCACATACATGTAAGTGTGGACTAGTAATATTGTTTCGTTTCAATAGAAAGCTTATCGCAAAGATTTTGAAGAAATGCTCAAGGGAAAAGCAACGTTGGATTTAGACAAGACTCCAGAATTTTTGCACATAAAACATGTCACCAATCTCCTCAAAGAGGTAGATCACTTCTTTTTTTTGTTTCTCTTTGTTATACTATAAAAGGGAAATAAGCAGCCTACCCATGTATTTTTGATTCATAAACAAAATAACTTAGTAAATCCTGTCCAGTTCAGTAAAATTAAGCTTTAATTCATAAAAAAATATTTAATGGTTAGCTGAATACACAGGTATCTGTCCATTGAAAGTTACACTAGGAAATATTGGTGTATACCAGATAGTTACTGGCATCTGTTCATCAGGGAGTGATTGTGGATATTGCAGCTATTCTGCAGACTGGTGGTGCATTTTCTTTTGTGGCTGTAGGGACAGATATTAGACATACAGGTCCCGCCACGGTGGTCATAGGTGTACATGGCATTAGGGGCTACTATTCTGAGATGCTGCTTCCTTTGGTCATCTTTCTGTTGTAATTCAAGTAACCATCTTTCATCGTGATGTTGGACTCCATGATTGAGAAGGGAATGCCACTTTGTTGCTAAATAGTGTTCTTAACAGAATCAGCATTACCTATGGAGTCTTTAATGAACATATGGAAAGTATAATGTCCACCAAACCTGAACCAAGAAATAGTTAAAATCAGATAGTATTGTGGAAATGGGGTTGCATGATTTTCAAATAATTGTATCTCCAAATTGCTAAAAATCATATATATTTTAAAAAACATTATTAATTGTTTCTCAGGAAGTTAATTCAGGTATGCAACTCAAAATTTGCTGCATGAAGCTAACCATGCCTTAAGGAGACATGATGAAATAGCTTTAAGTTGTTAAACATAAACGCTTTCTCTTTCCTTATTAAAAAAATGCACCTATACATGTGCCCAACTAATTAGCATGCTACAGCAACCTCAGCACCATGTGTATTCAGCATTTCTGCTTTTCAAAATGGCTGTGTTGGTACTTTAACTGAGGCTTGTTGAAGGAGCTTTAATTAAAGGACCGTTTTGAAAAGCAGGATGCTGAATACATGAGATGCTGCAGGCACTTAAATTAGAGCGTCTCCCAAGAGCCACTCTAATTAAAGCAATCCTCCCTCACCCCCACCATGGAGTACATGTAAAGGTGCCCAATGTGTTGGTTCAGTTACAGTCTCCTGTTGTGGGGAATATGGGGAGGATTCAGAAGAGATTACACCTTTTGTAATTGTGAGATCCACTTGCTTTAGGACCTATGCAAAACTTTCTCAGGAGAGTGAGAGTTCAATTGTTCCCCAAATGAACAGAAGAATCTCCCTGATTATGACAGCTAATCTTTGTAGTTTATTGATTGTAAAGGACATATTAAAAAAATGACTGAATTCCCATTTGTTTATATTGAAGAGCTTACAAAAGGACAAAGGACCTTGGTAAATACAGTGCAATTCAGTAAAATAAAGCTTTAATTCATTTACTCAAGAGTTCTTTAAAAATATATTTGCTTAAAATCTCAGCTTGTCATTAGGTCTTCAATGTGCTTTGAAAAATGTGGTGAGGGAATTGATTGCATTGCTGCTGGCCATTATCTTTGAAAACTTGTGGTGATTGGGAAAGGTCTCGGATGATTGGAAGAGGCAAACTCTAGTGCCCATCTTTAAGAAAGGGAAAAAGGAGGATCCAGGGAATTACCGATGGATAAGCTTAATCTCAGCCCTTGGAAAAATCATGGAACAGGTCCTCAAAGAATCCATTTCCAATCACTTAGAGGAAAAGAATGTGATTAGGAACTGTCAGCATAGATTTACACAGGGCAAGTCATGCCTGAAAAGCCTGATTGCCTTCCATGATGAGATGACTGGCTTTGTGGATGTGGGGAGAGTGGTGGACTTTAGTAAGGTTTTTGATATGGTCTCCCACAGCATCCTTGCAAGTAAGCTAAGGAAGTCTGGGTTAGATGAATGGACTGTAAGGTGGATAGAAAACTGGCTAGATCATTGGGCTCAAAGGGTAGTAATCAATGGCTTGATATCTAGTTAGTAGGGCTGTGCAAAACAGCAGTGTTCCGCTTTGACATCCGTTTTGGTGGAGCAGTGTTTCGTTTCGAGTTTTGTTTTGATTCGAAAACACTGTTCCATTCCGAATCATTGAAATGCTTTCTCTGTTTCAATGTTTGGATTGGGCTGGGGAAGGAAATTCAGCCCATACCCAGCTCTAGGATTGGGCTGGGGAAGGGAATTCAGCCCAGCTGAGTTCCCCCCCAGCGCTAGGATCAGGCTGGGGAAGGTGAGTTCCGCTCCCCACTGCTAGGATTGGGCTGGGGAAGGGAAGCTAGCCCAGCTGAGTTCCCCTCACCAGTGCTAGGATTGGGCTCAGTTCCCTTCAAAATGTTTCGACTGCCCTCATTTTGTTTTGAGGATGTTTCAAAACTCTTCATTTTGTTTCAATTTCTCTGCTTTGAGCTCAAAATGAGTCGAAACAGTGTCGAAACAAAACAGACCGCAAAATTTTGCAGAGCCTGACTAGTTAGCAGCTGGGCTCAAGTGGAGTGCCTCAGGAGTCGGTCCTGGGGCTGGTTTTGTTCAATATCTTCATCTATGATTTAGAAGATAGGATGGATTGCACCCTCAGCAAGTTTCCAGGTGACACCAAGCTGGGGGGAGTAGTAGATATGCTGGAGGGTAGGGCTAGGTCTCAGAGAGCTCAACAAATTGGAGGATTGGACCAAAAGACATCTCATGAGGTTCAGTAAGGCGAAATACAAAATCCTGCACTTAGGATGGAAGGATAACTGGCTAAGCAGAGATCTTTAGAAAACCACCTGTGGGTTACAGTGGACAGTAAACTGAATATGAACCAATAGTATGTCCTTGTTGCCAAGAAGGCTAATGGTATACTAGGCTGCATTAGTAGGAGTGTTGCCAGCAGATCAAGGGAGGAGTTTCTTCCCCTCTATTTGACACTGGTGAGGCCACACCTGGAGTGTCCTGTTTTGGTTTCTGCCCCCACACTACAGAAAGGATGTGGATAAGTTGGAGAAACTTCAGCAAAGGGCAATGAAAAGGGTTAAGGGGCTGGGGAACATGACTGCTGAAGAGAGGCTGAGGGAACTGGACTTATTGAATCTGCAGAAGAAAAGACTGAGGGGGGATTTAACAGCAGCCTTCCACTACCGGAAGGGTGGTTCCAAAGAGGATGGAGCTAGATTGTTCTCGGTGGTAGCAGATGACAGAAGAAGGAGCAATGGTTTCAAGGTACTGCAAGGGAAATTTAGGTTAGACATTAGGAAAAACTCTCACAAGGAGGGTAGTAAAGCACTGGGACAGGTATGTGGAATCTCCATCCTTGGAGGTTTTAAAGACTTGGCTAGACAAAGCCTTCTCTGGGGTAATATAGTTGGGGATGGTCCTGCTTTGAGCAGGGTGTTAGACTAGATGACCTCCTGAGGTCCCTCCCAACCTAATTTTCTATAATTCTATGAAAGATAACAGAATAATTAAAAATTAAATTCAGATTAAACTGTTTCTTGTTTTACCTTTGTGAGTTTTTATCACCTCTCCAAGAATATGGAAAAGAATGGTGACCAGTCCACAGGCAGCCTCTACTGTGATTTTAATTTTTCATAGAACACCTGAATACCATGGAGACAAAATACTGATAGTATTATTCTATGATAGCATGTTAAAAGAATGGAAGGAGATGGTAGGAGTGTTGTTGCTGTATCATAATTTAACTACTAATCATTTTACTAGCTCTTACTGTAATATTTGGGGCATGTTTAGGGCATAGCCATTCTATCTGTGAAGCCATTAGTAAAATGGGGATGAATATGAGGCCTACCAGCCTTCAACTATAAAAACTGCTATTCACAGGAAAACCTACAACACAAAAGCTTTTGCAATTACTATAACTGAAGATCTCTAATGTGAGCTCCCTAAACAAATGACATAGTATGTAAAGGTAGGATTTTTTTCAAGAGCCCAACAGCTGCATACAAAGCTAAATTAAAAACTTTTTGGTGCTTTATACTTTTTGATTTGATAATTTCCAATTCTCTTTTAATTCTGAAAAATATTCTTCAGCTAATTCATATTTCATAGCAATGTTCAGAAAAAATGATCAAATAGTAAGAGGCATGTTGCACACAATTTAAAGTGGGAGATTTTTTTATCCTTAGAAAGAGTATAGAAAAGATTTCGAAGAAGGGATTAAAGGAAAAGGACTGACTGTGTTTGAAGATACGCCAGATTTGATTAGAGTGAAAAACGCAGCCCGGATCCTAAATGAGGTATGTTATGGTAGTGAAGGTTATTGGTGGCATAGAAAGTTCATGTTTTACAGTGCACCCTATTGAAAAATATTCTAGTTTGTCTCATAATTGAAAATGAAGTATTGTCTTTTGACGCTGATGCCCACCTGGATTTTGCAGAAAGAATACAGAAAAGATTTGGAAAATAAAATAAAGGGGAAAAGAATTATACTTATTCCAGCTATTCAGCAAACATGTGAAATTGCTTATGAGATCAGTAGATAAAAAATGCTCCTGGGCAGGAAAACCTGACTTTGAGGTGACTTTGTTATATTACATTCAGGGGGCTATGCACATGTGCATGTCCCTATTGTGTTCTACTTGTGTAGCACTAGAAAATGCCTCAGGAGCTGAGACAGTGCAGCCTGGTCATTCATCAGGCTTTAGTTTGGCTTTGGTTCAGGAAAGATAATTTAAATTAAATAATTTAAATTTCTTACTCCAAGAGTTCATTGGAAACAACTCTGTGCTTTTAAAGATTTTTTTTATTATATTTTTTCTTAAAAGAAAATGGTGTTTAAACTGGGTAAACCCTGCTGGCTACTAAGCAGAACTTCTTACAGTGTATTCCAGAGTTTGTCCGGAGTTGAACAAAAACTGTAGAAGATGGAGACAGCTACCTTTAAGACTGAGTTTCTTTCGGACCTCAGTTTATACATTCATGTTCTTAGTAGTTCACTGCTAACAATCGCTTGTATCTGCAAAACTTGAGATCTGGTTTAAAAATGTGGTTAAAAACTATTAATTGAAATTATTTGAAATACTAACTTCACAGAAAGAATACAAAAAAGACCTAGAGACTGAAATTAAAGGCAAGGGCATGCAAGTGGGCACAGATACTCCTGAAATACAACGTGTCAAGAAAGCTTCTGAAATTGCAAGCCAGGTTAGTACAGTTGTTTTTAATTAGTGCCAGCTTTTAAGTGAACTGAGGACTTGTTATCAAAACCATAAAGTAATACACAAAATGTATTAGACTAGGGACAGAGGTTAAGCATAAACTGGTTTAAATGATCAGAAACTGGTTTAAACCT